GGTAGGGGGGGTGGGTCTGGGAGGGTCAGTATGGACTCGATGGGTTGAACGGTCTGTTTCCACACTGTAGGGATTCTATGATTCTTCCTCCACTTCCTCCCTTTGAAAGCCAAGACGAGTACGTCTCCAGGCACAAGGTCAGACAACGCATTCCTAGTATTAACCACCCAGGGCTTGGATACAGCACAATGCAAATAAAAGTTGTTTTTTCTTTAAATATTTTAAGACCACAGATTTACCCCACAACACTATTGTAACATCCTGACACAACCCTTCCGAGAGGAGCAATCTATGAACATTCCTTGATTATACCTTAGCTCTGATGGAAACTGTTGAAATCTGTTAACAGATTTATTGTACGATTTTGAATAAAAATGCAAAACATAGATCCCTTACCTTTGCTACTCACGTTTAGAGATACAGTACAAGCATCTGGAGATATCAGAAGTGTAAGACTAGGAGAACCTTACCCTTTGAAATACAATGTTCATGTGTCTAACCATTATCAGAAATTTTTCTCATGTCACATAAAACAGTACCTGAACCTGCAACACATTAAACCTCAACCACAATAAACTTGTTCAAGGGCCATTATTGTGAAATACTACTGTACTGTCAGGTTAAGTTATTAAGTGGGGAGGTGCAGGTGATTATAATTTGTCTTATCATCAAGCTGTAGACTTTGAATATCAGAGAAGGAAGCACCAAATCTGCAAGTCAGATCTTTTGAAAGGGAAAAGAAATTTATTATGAACTAGTAAATCAACTTAATAAGGCCAATGCTATGTTGGCCTGAGAGTGCTTTTGGAGTTAATCCAGAGGAACATGTCCACATATACCCAGCAGCTCATGTTGACTGAAGATGCCCACACAAGATATATTTCAGTGGGTATGCGCAGGAGAGAAACTAAAACTCTTAGAATCAAAAACAGAACTTTAAAAATGTTCCAAGATAACAACTTCTCAACTCCAGCTCCTAATTGCATCATGCAGCAACTTCTTTGACTGCACCTTTGTGATTTAATAAATTATTGTCATAATTACAGATTACAGTTTCCACAACGTTTACTACTTCCTACAAAATGAACTGAAATTTCAAAATCAGGTTCAGTCAAACATAGCAAAATTATTCAATTTTTAAACCTAGGCTTTCCTGAAGTAGAGTCTCATGGTTGAAAATAAAAGATGATAACTTCCATCAAGTGCTAGCAGAAACATCACAGCTCAGATGTAAACAGGTACCAAAGCTAGTTGGCAGCAACCTGGACTCTGCCTGATATACTCTACAACTGAAGACATCAACTGCAACTTCAAAAGCAAAACCAAATGCAGGGAGAGAGTCAATTCCTAGGCAACAGTTCACAAATCAATGTTTTTATCCCAGAGCTACATGAGAAAATATCACATGCAGGAGGCTGTACAATAAACACATCACTAAGAAGACACGTCATTATTTATGCTCTTACGTATCATTGCCTTCAGTATCAAACTAGTTTTCACATGCAATTCATTACTTTTCCTTTTACTGTCTACTGCTTTATGTTGTAAGGAACATGGTAAAGCATCAAGCCAACGACAAAGCTATGAAGTTTAATCAGAAAATGTTTCTGACATTCACTCTTGGAGTAAGGAAGGTTCTCTGACATGGTCAAAGCGAAGCAAGATTCGGACTATCCCAGCTGATGTGAACATCCCAATATCAGATAATACTAGCCAAGTGTCCAAACCCTCCACACCACATCAGTGAGATTGCAGATCCACATGCAAAAATCAGGCAATAAAGATTTCCACACACATTATCCTGGTACAGTGTAATTCCTTACGTACAGTTCTGTCCAGTGGTCAAGGCCATGGATAACCACAAAATAAAAGAGTACGCATCAAAATTGGACATGATCTGTCTAAGGTTTTGGAGTAGATCTGTAGCTAGGGTTTGTGAGTGTTGAGGTTGGTTGGCTCGCCGAGCTGGTTTGTTGTTCCGCAGACGTTTCGTTACCATGCTTGGTAACATCCTCAGTGCAGCCTCTGATTTAAAAAGGGCAACAACACACTGCAGCAACACGGAACTACGCCAAGAAGAAGAAGGATACCTCTTCCAAGTGTTCAAGGAGAATGGATATCCAAAGAACTGGGTCAGGAGATGCCTACAGGAACAGCATCAGAAAGATTCTACACGCCCCGACACACTCATCACACTACCCTACATCAGGAACACGTCAGAACTCACCACAAGACTCCTACGGCTGCTGGGCATCAGAGTGGCACACAAGCCCACATCAACACTACGACAAGTGCTCACCCGAACTAAAGACCCACTCCCCGCCATGGACAGGACCAATGTCATCTACAAGATCCCCTGCAGAGACTGCGAGAAACACTACATTGGACAAACAGGAAGGAAACTAACAACAAGAGTACATGAACACCAACTGGCTACAAAAAGACACGACCAATACTCACTCATCTCAATCCACATGGACAAGGAGAACCATGACTTTGACTGGGACAACACCAAGATCCTGGGACAGGCTAGGCAGAGACAAGCATGAGAATTCCTGGAAGCATGGCACTCCACGAAGCAGGCTATTAATAAACACATTGAACTCGACCCCATATACATTCCACTACGGAGGAAAGCCGGAAGTGAGGCAATCCATTGCAACGGACCCCAGAGTTTAAAAACCAGGCGGGAAAACACACCGACACTTCATCGGAGGCTGCACTGAGGATGTTACCAAGCACGGTAACGAAACGTCTGCGGAACAACAAACCAGCTCGGCAAGCCAACCAACCTGGACATTATACGGTCCAGGTAGGTGGCATCACAGCACATGTATAACCATTATCACATGCTTCTGAGAAAGAACATGATCAAATCAAATACACGTTTACTTTAAGGCAAGTGAGTGTAGAAGCGGAGAAATTAACTCAGGCCAAGTTAGAGTCAGACAGAATGGAAACAGACCCTTCGGTCCAACCAGTCCATGCCAACCATAATCCCACTTAAACTAGTCCCACCCACATGCGCTAGGCTCACATTCCTTCAAACATATTTTTGTTCATATACTTATCCAAATCTCTTTTAAAATGTTGTAATGTACCCCACACCACCACTTTCTGTGGAAGTTCATTCCACAAACAAACCACTCTCTAAGTAAAAAAGTTGCCCCTCAGGTCTTTTATAAATCTTTCTCCTTATACCTTAAAAATATGCCTTCTAGTCTTGAAATTCCCTATAACCCCCACGACTTTATAAACTTCTATAGGGTCACCAATCAACCTCCTAACTCAAGTGAAAAAGTCCCAGCCTATCCAGCCTCTCTTTATAACACAAACGCCCTGGCAACATTCTGGTAAATCTTTTCTGAACCCTCTCCAGCTTAATAATATCCTTCCTATAACAGGGCGACCAGAACTGGACACAACATTCCAAATGAGGTCTCACCAACATCCTGTACAACCTCAACACAACTTCCCAACTCCTACACTCAAAGGCCTGAGCATGAAGGCAAGTGTGCTAAACGCCTTCTTAACCACCCTGTCTACACGAAAGAATTATGTACCCGAACCCCAATGTCTTTCTGTTCTACAATGCTACCTAAGGTCCTACTCAAAGTTTGCAGATGATACCAAGTTGGGTGGGAGGGTGAACTGTGACGAGGATGCAGAGATCCTTCAGCATGATCTGGACAGTTTGGGTGAGTGCGTAAATCAATGGCAGATGCAGTATAATTTGGATAAATGTGAGGTTATTCACTTTGAAAGCAAAAACAAGAAGGCAGGTTACTGCCTGAATGGCTGTAAATTGGGAGAGGGGAGTGTGCAGTGGGACCTGGGTGTCCTTGTGCACCAGTTGCTGAAGGTAAGCATGCGGTAAAGAAGGCAAATGGTATGTTGGTCTTCATTGCGAGAGGTTTCGAGTACAGGAGCAGGGATGTGTTGGTGTAGTTATACAGGGCCTTGGTGAGGCCACATCTAGAGTATTATGTGCAGTTTTGGTCTCCTTTTCTGAGGAAGGATGCTCTTGCTCTCGAGGGAATGCAGCTTAGGTTTAACAGACTGATTCCAGGGATGGCAGGACTGACATATGAGGAGAAATTGATTAGGTTGGGATTGTTTTCGTTGGAGCTCAGACCAATGAGGGGGGATCTTATAGACTTATAAAATTCTAACAGGACTAGACAGGGTAGATGAAGGGAGGATGTTCCTGATGGTGGGTGTGTCCAGAACCAGGGATCACAGTATGAGGTTCCGGGATAGAAGATTCAGAACGGATATGAGGATACATTTCTTCACCCAAACGGTAGTGAGCCTGTGGAATTCATTACCACAGGAAATAGATTATGCCAAAACATCGAATACATTCAAGAGGTGGCTAGATATAGCAGTTGGGGCAAATGGGGAGAAAGCAGGATTAAGCTATTGAGTTGGACGATCAACCATGATTATGATGAATGGCGGAGCAGGCTTGAAGGGCCAAAGGGATGAATGGCCTCCTCCTGCTCCTATCTTCTATGTTTTTAACTGTATAAGTCCTGCCCTTGTTTGTTTTACCAAAATGCAATACCTCCCATTAACCCAAATTAAATTCCATCTGCCAATCCTTAACCCATTGATCCAACTGATCCGGATCTCCATGTAATCTCAGTTAATCTTCTTCACTGTCCACTATACCACCAGTTATGATGTGCCTTTAGGGAGGAGCGGGTAGAGGGAGGAGGGGTTGG